CATGATAATGCTTCTAAGTTGCAATTCCTAATTCCAGCTACCAGATTTGCTGCAGAATCTCTTAGTACTAAGAATATCTTATGACTCGTCAACTTATACTGTTCAAGAACAATTTTTAACTGTTCACTGATTCGTGTAGCTGTGTGGGAACCTTCAAAGGAAACAATTTGCAAAACAGCTCTTTCCTGCTGAAAATCATCCTTCAACCAGTTAAAAAAGTTAAAACACTTAAAAAAGGAAAATTGTTTGTAGTTGCTGTCCAAATATCAGTGGTTAAAGAGATATATTTTGTTTCTGTTAAACGCAGAAACACTTCAGCTTTTTAAACAATGTCGAAGTTTCCACGCGTCAACAATTATGTATTGAGATTTATTTACATTATAATTAACTCCAGGATCTCACACTATTAATGCAATAAATTATTAACACTAATCGGCCGATTAATCGGTATCGGCCGATAATGCATGGCCGATTAATCGGTAATCGGCCATTTTGGTTATCAGTGCATCCTTAGTTTTTAGTAGGTCTGCTGCTTGTTTAAACTCAACGGTTTGTACAATATCTGCTATTGGTCTAGATTAGACCAATCCTGTCGCGACACGAGTCGGCAATGACATTTTACCAAATTATATGAGTTTTTTTAGCATGTTTGTACGAATACTGTCTCAATTTTTTTGCCATCATATAGGAATCCAAACTATATTAACCCGTTAATCAATTTGCATCAATGTCCTAATTTAATCAAATTGTTCTTTCAAACACCATAACCGTGTATTTCTATTAATAGGACTTATTATACTGGTGTATAGAATTATAGCAACACAGTCACACAGATCATAAATAAACCAATTTTAATCTGTGTGACTGTGTTGCTATAATTATATACACCAGTATAATAAGTCTTATTAATAGAAATACACAGTTATGGTGTTTGAAAGAACAATTATATTAACCCGTGTTATAGGAGGGTCGACTGTATATCCCATGTTGCCAGAAGAATCCTCTCTATCTTATGTCTCAAAAGTTATAGAGATAATTTGAACCACAAATTTACAAAAATTGTTTTTAGCTTTTCCTCTTCCATTCAAAACCATTCTCTGTAAGGTTCAAGCCAGGAATGACTGGAATTTCTTCACTTCTGGCCAACTCATTTTTATGATCTCTGGAAGAGATTGTTTCAAAATCAGAATAATCCAGAGACAATTTGATAGTACACAAAGACAAAAATCAGAAAGAAATGGATGTCCCCTAGGTCATCACCATACAGGCAGGTATGAAAGATCTGAAAAATGAGAATATACAAAGTTGTGCAGATGAAAAGAAAATTGACAACATTTTTATTTAATTCTATAATGATAATTAAAAGTTTCATCATGAAGCCAGTCAGTAACTGAAGTTCGTAAACAAAATAGTTTATTCTTTCAAAACAATAATAATAATAAATATAAAATAAATAAATAAATAAATAACATGGCCAGCCCATTGGTGAGGCCTGAACCCATGACAAACTACCAGTGTTCAGTGATTTATCCACTTGGCCACTGGTGCAGTAGCGTGCTGTCATTAGAAGCGGTGGAAGTGCTGCTTCCCTTGTATTTTATAAAAAATAAATACATATTAATTTTAATATGAAAATAATCTCACAATATTTTGTTATAACCGCATTATGTATCTTATTACAAATTTCTATACTACACATGAAAAAAAAGATAACATTGCTATTGTATATTCGAATATTAGTGGCGGAGTGGAATCTCTGTATTGTCAGATTCCAAAAAGCCAGATTTGTGCACGCGCTTTACAGAACACCAACCTCACCCGGTTTAGCCGGTGGAAACCTACGACCTTGAGTTGATGCTACACATTCCAACGCATCCAATTCTATCAGAGACCGGTTCCAGGCTGTTAGCCGCCCGCCCGCTAGATATTTGGCCGATTATGTGAATAACGAGTAGATTTATAACTTAACCCAACCGATAAGAATTTACTGGTATGTTTTTATGATAGTTCTGTATAGTTGACAGGAGTTTAAAAAATCCATTAAAATATTTGATATATTTATTCTGCTCTCCGATTTTATATTACTCACGGATTTCAATGTTAAACCAGTGATATTACGATTTTGTATGTCCCATCTCTAAGGGGATGTAGAAAAAAACGTGTACAATTCTCGTACAATGTTAAAAAATTAACCGTTACTTCGACAGCGTCATTTACAACTAAATTTAATGAATGAGAGAGATGCACCAGGTACAGAAAAAGCTCTAGAATTTATTTTCCTTAAATTTACGATTTATGTATCCATTTGTCATAAAAATTTGTCTTTACACTTTTTTCCCGAGACTACAAATATTCAAGTACAAAGTAACCGGTTTCAACTTATTTCTACTTAAGAAGTAGTTAATTAATTAAGCAAATAGGGAATTGGGGACATAAACAAAACCCTGATGAAAGAGCCGAAATTTTACTTAAACAAAAGCCTAACTGAACCAATCTCTAGCCGAGTACAGTGGGGGACCAATTTCTTCAAAATATTAGATGTAATAAAGACAAATTTTTCCAGTTCAACAAGAGTGAGCGAAAAGTTGTAAATTTTGGACATTTCCGTGGACAATATCTGGTCCTAAAACAAATTAGATAGAAAACAAACGACGGACAATCTATTAAGTTTAACATATTTAGACTTTTACAGCTATGGTGAGAAACGTTTAAAATTTACAAGAACCCTGTCGCGTCTTTTGAGGTATATTAGTGATGC